TAACTGGTCTCTTCCCCTTTCACCTCAGGGCCTTTGTACTTGTCACCTGTGCTGTGAAAGCTCTCTTCCAAAGTACCTACTCAAACATCACCTTTTCAAGATTTACATCTCCTTAGACCATGCTATTATAACTCCCCAGCATTTTCGATGCCTCTGGTGGCTTTATTTTTTCTCTACAGCACTTAACACCAGCTGCTATGCTGTTTCTACTTTACCTATAAATGTGTTGAGCTCTCTTCCTACAGGCTAGAAAGGTCAAGAGATACATTCTAGAAACCACTTTGTGGCTGCTGATGCAGAACTCATGCAGGTGCCTGCAAATGCAAGCTAATGACCCTCATAGGGCTGATTCACACACAAAATGGAGGCCAAGATAGGTTATTAAACTCTAATCCTCACTGTAACATTACAACTCCCTTGCTTTGTTAGCCAACATATTAATTCACGGACACAATTAAATTTCTTCATTGCCCTATTAATTCCTGCTAGGAATCTATTTAAAAGATATGAGCAGGGCTGGAGAGATGGCTCAGTGGTTAAGAGCACCAGCTGCTCTTGCAGAGGACCCAGGTTAGGTTCTCAGCACCCACATGGGGGCTAACAACCCTCTGTAAATCTAGTTCCAGGAGATCTGATGCCCTCTTCTGACCTCCGTGGGTACTGCATGACATGGGTGCACTTACATACATGGAGGCAATACACTCATAGTACACACAGAAAAAATTTTTAAATTAAAAAAGACATGAGCAGAACCTATTACTTCATAAGCTAGATGCTTCGGGATTTTCATTGTCTTAAGAGGTGGCAGTTAGTTTATTTCTGGAATGATTTTTCACTATTCCCATAGAACTCAGAGCACCTCTATCCATTTAAACCTACCTCCGGTCTGTGGGGTACAGTTCCACTGTGACTACATCAAGAGAGTTCCATGCTGAGATGGTCAGTCCATTGTACAGACACAGCATGCCTATCATCATGGACTCACTGGTGCCAAACCACAGGAAGAAGCAGCTGATCCCCGACAGCACCATGGAGCCACCTGCCAACAGTGCAGATAAAAGAGTGAGAGACTCCTGTCATTTCGGTACAGCAAACACCTTTTGGGTCTTTGAGCTTTCTCAAGAAAACAGTTCCACAGGGAAGCTGCAGACTGGGCTCCATAAAACTCAAGCTCAAGTGCATTCACCTGTTTGAAAGGCCATCTATGTGCCTTCAGAGTGCAGCAAGTACAAAGACACATCATCCATTACTCAGCTACTTAAGTGGAAAATACATATTAGTTACATACAATTAGTTTTTCAGTTCACTATCTCATGGGGTTAGGGAACACAGTAGAACACAGGCTTCCTCTGAATCCCAGGAGCAGCTTTTTTGCCTTTCAAGAGCATGAATACATACCTAACATTGTTAATCGCCCAATTCTGTCCATCAAGAGAGCAGACACAATGTTTCCAGGTAATACCGCCAACGTCCCAAGGAAGTTGACAAAATAAATCCAGTAGGCGCTATAGTCATCATCAAAAGTAATCTGGCATCCTGTCTTGTTGTGAAGAAATGAGCAGTTCCGAAATTCACTGTCAATGAATTTATATGGCTCAAAATCTGTAGAAAGAACAACAAAGACAATTCATCAAGCTTGTGTCAGGCTTAAGTGGCAGATGTGGGCAGTAACAGAAAGCCCACTGAGACTTCAGAAAAGAATCAACAGTACTGCAGATTTCTTGAGGATCTCACAGCCCAAGCTGGCTTCACTTTTTGTGTCTCCTGGTCAAAGGAGGCTAGTCTGGAACCTCACCTGACACAGTAGCAGAATGGAGGGACACCTTTGTTGGATAAGGGAATGAATGAAGTTAGAGTCAAGTTATCTTTTGATTCCCTATGGTTGGATGTTGCTAATTATATTGTTATTTATTCTGCTACAATATTACTTTGCTGTAACTATCATTATATAAAAGCTATCACTTCAGTACTAATAGGTTCCATATAACAATTATAAAAACAATTTGTTCTAAAATGTATACAAATTGACCTCATCATTGTCATTTTATGGGGCTCTGAGGCACAGGGAAGGAACAAGCCTCTCTTCCAGTCCTTGAGGCTACATTTATAATTTAAGTTCTCTATAGATGAATTCATTGAAGAACAAGATTCAGTTCCTTTGAAGGTCGCCAGCATTTACCATTAGGAATTTTCTTCTTGGACTCTGCCTCTCTAAGAAGGACTGCACATGGTGGTGAGTTTTGCTAAATGGCTGTAAGAATCAAAACAGTCTTCCTCTTTGGTGATCAAGAGCTACTCTCTGCCTTCCTAAAAAAAGTCTTTAGTGGTCAAAAGGGTTAGATGATGACACCTGACCCCATTCTCATTTGGAACTGGGTATTCCTGGCTCTGGATTGAGAACCAAGAAGACAGGGCTGCCAATAGGGCAGATGCTAATTTTCCTGCCAGAGTCAGGAGGTGGACTCATTTTATAAGACCATTAATGTGGGAATGAGAAAGCAAGGGCACTGCAATCAGACAGACCAAGGCTCCAATCTTAGGTGTTACTAGTTCTTTCAACTGTGGCCAAATTTCTTAGTTTTCTAAGCCTCAGGTACCCCAAAAACTGCAGGAGATGGTTAATGTCTGATGATGAGACTGGGCAACAGCACATAGCAAGGGCTCCCTAGGTGGTTGCTTCCCTGGAGTCTGGATGGGGCTAAAACATTCTGAGTCTAGGCAGTTAGCGTAAAAAGACCCCAAAGAAAAGTAGCCAGTTTCTTGGCTAAAACTCACAGTGTCCTAGGGCCTCTTAGCAACATACTCTGTGCCAAAGGCCAAAAATGACAAAAGTATTTGGGAGCTCTTATCTAATCCCTAAAAGATTTTAGGGTTACAGAGGGGGGAATGTTAGAGTAGCCAAAAGTCCCATTAAAAAATAAATAAATAAAAGAAGAAGAAAGAGTACTGAAGTTATCAGAAAAAAGTGATGGGGAGATATGGGAGGAGTTGGAGGAGAGGGAGTGGGCATAGATTTGATCAAAACACCTTACATGCATGTATGAAATTCTCAAGAAATTATTTAAAAAACTAAATTATTGAATGGGGAAAAAAAGAAAGTTGGGAGGATACTACTATCTTTGATGATGATTTATTCTAAAATAAAGACCTACATTAAAAATCTGTTATATAATCTAGTATGTTGAATTACATGATGCATATCTATCTATCTATCTATCTATTTATTTATCTATCTATCTATCGTCATCTTATATAATAATAATATGGATGATCAAAAGGCACATCTGTATGGGGTAAAATGTCACTTCTGTGTCAGTCAGGAAACAGCCATTTTGGAAATAACTATTGTTAACAGTCTGTATGTTAACAATAGTAACTGGAACTGTCAGCTTTGTAGGGCCCACCTGAAGCTTATACCATATAAAGGACTTGTTTAAGAAAAAACGCACAACAGGGAATATTAAAATAGAAGAAGCACATTTAAGTGGTAGACCATTAAGTTTCACCTTTCTGCCTTGCAGTAAGTCCACCACTTCAGATGGCAACTAAATAAAATTCAAAGAACTAGACAGGAATAAAATAATACCTGAAAAAACAAACAACAAAACCATTCTGTTTGAGCATAGCTATATACCGTTTACTCCTGCTGAGTAAAGACATGCTTCAAAAAACATCAGACTGTGAAGTCAAGATTATCAAAACGAATGTACCTACAAGGTTAATTCTTTGATTTACAAAGTATTGACCAAAGGCTATTTATTTTGTCAACTTTGAACTTGGGTAAGTCTCATTTGCATTAAACCTAAGAAAGCAAAGTAATACCAGCTTGCTTTTGAGTCAAGCTCGTTCACGGAAATTGTTCATTCATACTTTAGTCTCCACTTGCCACACAAGCCTTTGGCCACATTGTTACATGGTTGCCATGTTTCTGCCAAGACAGAGACCCTTTGAGGGGACCCCTGCTGGGGGCAGTGTAATGGCACACTTACCTGTGTTTTCAAAAAGGGTATCAATAAATGTGCAGTTCTTGAAGTAGGTGTTGACTGAAGTCACATCATCAAAGGTGCAAGACTTAAATACTGAATCTTTGAAAGTTACGGATTTGAACTTGACCCCAAGGAATCTGTGCAACACATACACATGCAGGTATAAACACATTTATGTCAATGACTTGTGTCTACTAGAGCTCAAGGCTAAGTCAAACAGATTTAGAGATGTGGCACTGTGCTGTAGCCATCCTCAAATTAGAAAGGGTTTCACAGGCATGTGATTACCAGAGATAAAACTGCCTTCTTTGTATGTAAATGAAAGTCTAAACTTGAAATAATAAGTCTTCTAGGGTTTTGGTTTTTTTGTTGAGACATTGTCTCCCTGTAGCCATACCTGTCTTAAAACTCACTATGTAGACCAGGCTAGTCTCAATCTCACAGAGATCCATTTGCCTCTGCCCCCACAGGTGCTGGAATTAAAGACATGCTCAGCAAGAAGTCTTCCAGGGAATTGTAACTTACAAACTGAACTTAGAGCACTCCCATGGGAGCAGTTTGTGATCTCACATCATTGGTTTTGGGAAGAAGAGTTAATCAGTTCATTGTAGTGCTGTTTGTAGTAAAACCAATGGATACTCTGCCCTTCATAGTCTCTTTTCTGTATAAATATATTAGTGTTTGTGTGCATGTAAACACTAGAACCAAAGTATGACCTTTCCTACTTAGCAAAACATGTACCAAAAGAGAAAATAAAATCATGCTGTGAACACACACACACACACACACACACACACACACACACACACAAATTTATAAAGGGTTTCTTCATTGTAAGGGGCTTCTGGGTTTTCTAAATGGTTTGCTTTTCCCTCTTTGCCTCAGGTGTCCTGTTCTTTTGCTATATTAGTCTTCAATATAATTTTCTGTTAGGAGAAGCAATGGCACTCTAGCCTAGTTAGTTTTTTGCACTGGTGGTAAAAGGTCTTGTGACCTTTGCAATAGCGATTTAGAGGATTAACTGTGGCTTTAATTATTTAGCTTTCAACCCAATCCTCTAGTTTCTTCACAGATTTCTTTATTCAAGTTCTCAGTTTGGGACTAGTGTAACTAACTTGAAGATGTGTTGATTTCTAAACTTCATGTATGTTTTTATTTATATATTTTTTCTTTTGTTAAAAATATTTTATTATTTTTATTTTATGTGTATGAGTGTATTGCCTGCATGTATGTGACTGCACCTGTGTCATTCAATGCCAGTGCCACAGAGGTCAGAAGAGGGCTTCAGATTCCCCTGGAACTGGCATTAAGGACGGTTCATAGCTGCCATGTGGATGCTGGGAATTGAATCAGGGTCCTCTGCAAGAGCTGTCAGTGCACTTAACTGCTGAGCCATCTCTCCAGCCCCATAGTTTTTCTTTTTAAAAATATTTTATTATTTTTACTTTACGTGTATGATTGTAATTGCCTGCAATAATGTAAGTGCACCTGTCACGTAGTGCCCATGGAGGTCAGAAGAGGGCATCAGATCCCCTGGAACTGGAGTTATGGAGGGTTGTTAGCCACCATGTGGGTGCTAGGAACCAAACTGGGATCTTCTGCAAGAGCAGCCAGTGCTCTTAAGCACTGAGCCATCTCTCCAGTCCTTGTTTTTATATATTTACAGTGATGGAAGTTGAACCCAGAGAGTTGCACATGTTGGACAAATACTCTGCTATTGAGCTACAGCCTTAGCTTCTCTGATTTTATTTTTTTTCCTTTTTGGAAAAGTCTGTTTTCTGAGTTGAGACCCTCACAAGACTGGGTGTGGGAATGCTGGTTCTTTATGTGAGGAATGACTTTCACAGAGTCAGGAAATGCACTGCACCTCCTTGCAGCCGAAAGACACTCTGAGTTAAATAAAAGCATAAAAGAGTTCTGTTGATCTTTGGAAACATGTAGAATGATGAATTCGGTTCAGATGAAATTTTAGGCACTGTTACAGGGAATTCTGGGTACACAATGATCATAATAACCCTTAATGTCCTAAAAGAGCCTGTGGCCCGCCTTGATAAGGACTCCCTGCAGCTGCACATAAGTGTCCTGAGTGTGTGTCAGTTCTTCATTAAGGGACTGAATGTAACTTTGGTCAGTTAAGGAGAGGAAAATTCTTGTTTATCTGGGAAGGAGTTACATTAACATAACTCTTCTTAGAGAGAAAGAGACTTAATCCTTTGAGGCATGTGAGCGGACTTGAAAGCAGTTCACTGACTACTGGGTACTCTCAAAGTTATTCTCATTGTAATGCCTGATTGCATTTATCAGTTGAAAATGTACTGTGGCCTCACAGACCAATCAACTTAAAAATTTTTTTTCTTTTGGGCTGGAGAGATGGCTCAGTGTTTGAGAGCACTGACTGTTCTTGCAGAGGATCCAGGTTCAGTTCCCAGCACCCACATGGTGGCTGATAACTGTCTGTAGCTCCAGTTCCAGGGAATCTGATGCTCTCTTATAACCTCTGCAGGCAGTGCAAGACATGGGTGCACTTACAGATATGCAGGCAATACACTTATACACATTAAAAATATAAATTATAAATAAAACATTAAAAAACTTCTTTCAATCTGCACTCTCAGAGCCAGGAGTAAAATCAACTAAATATACTAAAGAAGGCCAGAAAGTCACATATTTTCTGTACATTAAATCTTTTAAAATGGGTCTAAATTTGGGAAGCAATTTTAATGTTTGAATGGGTGTGTAATACACACAGAGCACACTTGGTATAAAATTTAAAAGATTAAAGAAGAAAACAGTAAGTCATCACCCTCCTACATCATGCCATCCAGCCCAGACAGCCTCCAGGCCTTCCCAGAACATTTGCATATAGAGGATGAGGGACACCCTGCTTGAGCTCTGCAGTCCACCTTGGAGGGTACTTCAGGTCAAGGTATAAAAAGTCTCTATTGTTTAATACTGCACAGGGAAGCTATCATTTAAGAATGAGTCAGCTACTTAGAGGGATTTCAGATTTCTCTGAAAGACAAAATATTTTTCCTGTTATCTAAAATAAATGTATAACAAATGTAAAATATATTTTATATGGTTTTGTTTTTGTTCTTTAAACTGCCCTTTCTTCTCCTCCTCCTCTGTTTCTCTGTGGGTGTATATGTGAACATGTGTATATGCATGTCTGTGTACGTGTGTTCCCGTGTGTAAGTGCAGGTGCATACGTGGCTACAGCATGCATATGGACATCACAGGACAACCTTAGTCTGTGTCTTCCTCCTTGTTTGAGATAGGGTCTCTTTTTAAAAAAATTTATTTATTTATCTATTTTTTATGTGTATGAATGTATTGCCTGCATGTATGTAAGTACACCCATGCCCCATGCCATGCAATGTCTGAGAAAGACAGAAGAGGGTGTCAGATCCCCTGGAACTGGAGTTAGAAATGGTTGTTAGTTATTATGTAGATGCTGGATTCGAACCCAGGCCCTCTGCAAGAGCAGCCAGTGCTCTTAACCACTGAGCCATCTCTCCAGTCCCAAGACAGGGTCTCTTGTTCACTGCACGCACCAGGCTAGCTGGCCTTCTAGCTCCCAGGATTCTCCTGTCTCCACTTCCCATTTCCCTATAGGAGTGTTGGGATTACAGACTCCTGTGCAATTATGCCTGGCTTTTATGCAAGTTCTAGGGATCTGGACTCAGGTATCAGGCTTGCAAACCAAATGTTTTACCCATTGAACCATTGCCCCAGCCTCATTTTTGGTCTTTTGAGATAGGTTCTTGCTGTGAAGCCCAGGCTGGCCTCAACCTCACAATCTTTCTGCCTCTGCCTCCCAAGTGCTGGGATTACAGGTGTGTGCCACTATACCCAGTTCAAGAATTTTAGTCTGGCACCTTAGACCACTCAGATATCCTGACACCTTCAGTTCAAGGATTTTCATAACACATTATTAAAATTATTAACCTTTATATTTCTAATTAAAAACTCCAAACACTAACAAATGTTACTAAAATTATGACCGTCTCAAACACAAACAATATTTAACTTTTTTCTTTTTTGTTGTTGGTTTTGCCATTTTGGGACAGGTTCTCTATGCAGTTCACACTCAAACTTGCCACCTCCTGCCTCACCAACCTGAGTATTGTGATTACTGGTATACACTTAGAAATGTCTAGTAGAAGGACAATACTTTTAAAAATAAATATCCATCCTGAAACGACAGAATTTGACACTCAAGGTTCTTTGAAATACAAGTGCAGAGTGGAGCTAGTGTTTCAGGTGGGCTAGTGAAACCGAGACCATGTGGCTCGGGTTAAGATTAGGTCCCTTATTAACTTGCTAATAGTTCCCAAACTGACCGCTATAAATTATTCAACACACAAGTGTTCCACAAAATTCCTTTTCATCTTTCTGAACAGGTTTTTGCCTTGGGAAACTTTGATTATTTTGAGTTTTTACTTTTATCATTTTTGAAATTAAGACCATTTTCTGAGGATAACATGAGCTACTGTGGGCTCATATCAGCAATGATTTGCTCCGACAATATCTAAATGAACCTCAGTACCTTATCAATCCTTTTTTCCATCTAAAAAGTGAGCCAGAACCACCTCCCTTGAGCCCCTGCTCTTGCAACATTAAGAAGCAGTCCAGGTCCGGTGCTCATCCCTTGCTAACCCTTTGGTGTTTGCATTTCCGTTCTCTACCTGAAACGCTTCCTGATGTAACAGAACTCGAGTTCTTGATTCAGCACAGTGGAGACATGAAACGTGGTTGCCTTTTCAGAAATGGGAGACTCCTCAAGTACATTTCCAACTTCATCCCTTGCCCATCCTGTTTCCTTAGAGGCTTGACTCTCCTCTCAAAAATTTCTTTTCATACTGGTCAATTCTACTACTTAATAAATACGCAGCAACTCAGCTTCAGCAGTAGCTTCTTACATTTTACAAGGTACTTAATTGATTCTCTACTAATTTCAGTAGTAGTATAAAGTGAACTAACTGATACATGTGTATCTTTAGAGTGTATTTCCCACAAGTGACTAATCACAAAAACTAAAAGCCCTGCACACTTCAGTTGTTATTTGTACATGAGTATGAAGCAACTTAAGCCATATCAAAGTGTCTAGACCTGCCGTTGTCGTATTCCATTCCAGTATGAATCTGATTTTCCATTGTGAAGTTAATGCTGAAGTTTGCATATTTATCCTTTTGCACATTTCTAGTTAGCAGCGCATATTCATCGGACTGCAGGTGTTTAATGACATCAGGGAACCAAACTGATAATCCATAGTACCTGCAAAGACAAAGAAACAAGGGTTTGTAAGGGTCCACTCAAGGCCACAAGCACTTCCTGACATTTTCAGAGAAGCAGTGGTCCTGGGAGAAGCACTTCCAGTATGATCATTCAACATTTGAGTGAAGTAACGCACAGTAACTGGCACATTACCCTCCGTCTGCCCCCTGCAAAACTCAAGCTAGAGAGATGGCTGGAAACCTCCAGGCATGTAATTTCTTTTCTTCTCTTTTTTTTTCTTTTCTTTTTGGCTTTTTGAGACAGGGTCTTCCTGTAGTCCCAGCTCGCCTGGAACTTGCTATGTAAACCAGGCTGTCACAGAGATCTACCTGCCTCTGCCTCCTGAGTACTGGAATTAAAGGCATGTATCACCATGCTTGGCTGGGACATGTAATTCTTGAACCCCTTCTTTGGAAGAGATGTGTAGAATCCTGTACTATATTCACACATAGTGCTGTGGTCTGAGTGCGCCCCCTCAAAACTGAATCTTAAACACAATGTGATAATACAGGAATTGATTACATGATGAGAGCAGACCCCCTTATGAATAGGTTGTGCAGTAAGAAAGATGTACATAGGAGCGCCTCCCTTCCTTTTGCCCCTTCCATCTCCTCTGGGGACACAGAGTTTGTTCCACTAGGGGATGCAGCAGCCAAGTGCCAGCTTGGAAGCACAGTCCAGGCCCTCATTGAACACCAATCCCTCCCACCCCATCACTTGGTGTCTTAATTTTGAATTTCCTAATCTCGAGAAATAAATTTCTATTACCAATAACAAACTCAGGCTGTGTGATTTTGTTATCATAGCATAAATAGACAAGACACATGGCATGCTGGCCCCAATGTCATTCATATAATCCCAAGCTCCACTGAGAAACCACATCTCTTAGTTTCATGGTACAGAGTCCTGGGATCTAGGAAAGGAGAACCTGAAGGAACAGCCTCTTTTATGAATGGAAAATCTTTCTTGTTTCCTACACTACTAAGATACTGCTAGCCTAAGGTAGAGTTCCATTTCCCAAGGTGGTTCAAGGTGGTGGAAGGGATATTCATGCTTCTTCTATTTCCTTCCTTCCTTCCTTCCTTCCTTCCTTCCTTCCTTCCTTCCTTCCTTCCTTCCTTCCTTCTTCCTCCTCTTCCCTCTTCCACGTTCTTCCCCCCACCCCCCTCCTCCCCACCCTCCTTTCTGAGGCAGGGTCTCATGTAGCCCAGCAGACCTTGAATGTACTATGTAGCTAAGAATGACCCTGAATTTCTGATCTTCCTGCTTCCACCTCCCAAGTGCTGGGATTACAGGCTTGTCCCACAAATCCTAGCTTATGGGTGCTAAGGAATTGAACTTAGGGCTTTGCACATGCTAGGCAAGCACCCTACCAATTGAGCTGCCTGAAAATCCAGGTTATTTCTACTTCCTGCCTCATGGCTCTAATGTGTGACTCTAAGAGCTGTGTCATGCTGCTGGGCTGGTCAGTCAAATAACCACTAACCAGATGCAGCCACTAAGCTCTTGAAATGTGGCTAGTCCAAGTTGAGATGCACTAGAAGCACAGGATTTTCAAGAGTTACGAGAGAAGAATGTACAATTCATTATTAATAATTTTATATCGATCATGTATTGAAATGATACTATTTTAGGCATAAGGAATTGAATATACCATAGTATTAAAATTAATCTACCACCAGGTGTGGTGGTGCACACCTTTAATCCCAGCACTTACTAGGCAGAGGCAGGTGTGTCTCTGTGAGTTCAAGGCCAGCCTGGTCTACATAGTGAGTTCCAGGCCAGCTGGGGCTACAGGGAAACCCTGTCTCAAAAAGACCCCCCCCCCAAATTAATCATACCAGCTCTTTTTCTTTTGTGCATGTGGCTACCAGAAATTTTGATGGCATCTGTGGATCAAATTATATTTCTATTGGACAATGTTACTCTAATATAGTAGTTTCCAAAATGGGGTCCCTGGATCCATGTCCATGAGCTTGGCCTGATCCAGGACCTGACAGATCAAGGACTCTGGGTTGAGTGTGTCAGGTGACTGTTCTGATGCATACTCCAGTTTGGGACCACAGCTCCAGTTTATGACAGGGCCACTCAGCTGCCACAGGGAGTAGTGGTTTGTAAGCAGACTGGATTCAGGTCCTGGTCTGGCCACTTGCCAGCAGCATGAACTTGGGCCAGTCGCCTGAGCCTTACTTTCCCACACTTTCTATATAGGAATGATGTTAGTGTTCACCTTCCACGGGCTGTTGCTCAGATTAAATGGGATGTAAAGTGCCTACCACAGTGAGGCACTCCAAAGACAAGATGAGTCATTGTTATCATCTTTGGCTTTAGGACTCCTGAAACATCTGTGCCTCAGAAGCTCAGATTCCCAACCTGGTCTCATAGACTATGAATCAATGCAGGGGGTGTGTGAGGGTGGTGACCGAACAAGAGATGACTCAGGGATACAACACCTGTGGGCTGCTCTCTAGTCAGAGCCACAGGAAAAACCTTGAAAATGACAGTGAGAAAAACGTATTTTCCTGGGAAGTCCACCCTCAATGATATGAAGGAGTTTTAGTTAATTTTTCATGTATTCAGCAAACATTTGATGAATATCCATTAAATAGCAGGCAGTGTTGAGATTTCAGTAAATAAGTGATAAAACTTAAAATCTAGTCAACAATGAATATGTTATTCAAATAAACACCGGGCGATGGTTGACCATGAATTCTTTATACCTTGAGAGTACAACTTTCTTTTTTCTGATCTTTGTCTTCTTTGTACCTATCTTAGTGCTTAGAGCATGGTAGATACCTAAATTAATAGTTTTTAGAAGTTAGGAGAGATTATTAACATTCTCTCTCTCTCTCTCTCTCTCTCTCTCTCTCTCTCTAACTGGGGATGGAACCCATGACCTTACACATACTTGGCAAGTGCCATACCACTGAGCTGTGCCTCCAGCTCTAAACCAACCCTCTTGACATAGAAATGAGGAACTAGGGGCTGGAGAGTTGCTCACTGCTCTTCCAGAGGACTTGAGTTCTGAGTTCCATTACCAGAACCAGCTCCAGATAGCTCACCACTGCTTGCAACTCCAGCTCCAGGAGGATTGTCTCTGCTTTCTACAGGCAGCTGCACTCACGTGCACATAGCTCCCATGTACACAATAATGAAAAAGAAAATCTTTCAAAAAAACCCTGAGGAACTGAATCACACGACTAAGCAAGTTGCATGGCAGAATGAGGGCGTAGGATCCCTGGCCATGGCATTCTCCTTCCCATTATCATACCTCAAGCAGCACCCTGAATAAGCAAGCACTTACCTGTTTTAATTATGGTGTTAAAATTACAGCACTGATATTGGGCTCCATCAGGTACCAGGATCCTCTTGACCTGACCGTGCAGGGTATTACTACCTCATAGCTTTTTTCTAAACAGATTAGGTGACAGCATTTCACACATACATGCTAAAGTGACGATATTAACATTAGTAAATAATATCCTGGCTTTTCTCCTTGACTTCCTTTGTTCTTAGAACATATGGCAGTTTTACTTATGTGACAATAGCTATTTACTGAACTCCATATGTGCCAGGAATATCTATCAGGCAGCAAGTAGTTTAAAACCCCTTCACGGAGCTTCCAGAGTGGGAAATCAAACATTTACTCTTTATACAGAATAAAAAAGCCTTTTGGGGTTCAAAAAGATGGCTCAGCAGTTAGAGTGCTGTTGCATAATCATAAGGACTGGAGTTCAGATCTCAGGACGCACGTAACAAACCTGGCATTCTATAAACACCTGTGACTCTGCCTCTGAGGGATCCAGCACTCTCTTCTGGTATCCACGCACATACACATATACACACACAAATAAATAAAACAAATCTTTTAAAAAGCCTTTTTTACAGTAGAAAATAGAAAGTGCCGCCAGGAATAAACAAGCTGATAAGGGAACAGGGATGACTAAGCTGACGGGGAAAAATTGAAGGGGGTAAGGGATTGAGGGCAGCTGCCTGGGGCAAGTGTTCCCAGCACAGGGTGATGCCAAGGCCTGAGGTGGAAATGGAAGAGCAGAGAGGCCCGTGAAGCTGGGAAGAAACAGAGGAAAAGAGAGGACAGAGGAAGCCTAGAGATGAGTCCTGCAGACCTTTTGAAACTTCCCAAACACTGCTAAGTTTGGCAGACAAGTTTTCTGGCAAGGTAAGTAGAATGTTTAGGTTATAAAAATAGTAATTGTCAGCAATGTAAGTTGAAAAAAATTCTTTCCTAGCAAGTTAACAGAGCTGAGCAGTATGAAAAAAGAAAGAAAATTAAGAAAGCAGTGTCTCTGGGAGTTATGATGTGACAGTGAATGATTTTGTTCGCCAAGATATTACTTACCCAAAAGACAGAGTGAACCAAACAATCGTAAGCTTTATTGTATTGTCCCTGACTGGGTAGTTGAAGCATCTCATGAAAGTCAACCAAATCTGTGAAAGAGTGGAGAATTAGTTTTCTTACAGTTGTATAGTCAACCCTACTCCCCAACAGCTTCCACCAAATTATAAAAAAAGTTTTTGTTGAGCTGAATTCATTTCAACTTAAAATATAAAAATCTTAACACCCACACAGAAGCAAATACTGGAATTTTCTTTTCTCTTTCTTTAGGAGCTTCCATTGAGCCATGTCCCTAGCCTGATTTTTAGTTTTTATTTTTAGACAGAGTCTCACTAAGTTGCCCAGGCTAACTTTGAACTTTCAATCTTCCTGTCCCAGCCTCCTGGGTAGGTAGAATTACAGGCCTGTGCCACCAAGCCTGTAATATTCACTTTCCAGCTTCCTGGAAGCAATGGATATCAAGGCAGGACTTCATTGCCCCAACTCTTAGGTTCCTTCCCCAGGACAGAACACACAGGCCAGCTGCTGAGCTGAAAGGGTCCAGTTGCCTGGTCCTAGTCTGAGAGTCATGTGTCTGGGGCAGAGGGGACAAGCTCTCCTCGTGGGACATGCATAGTCGGTCCCTGTTGTACAACCCCCAAATGAAAGAAGTTGGCATGCAAGTCATTATAAAACTCAGTACTTACTCCGTATAGTTCTGTGTGGATCCGAACAAAACACCTTCTGTACCATGTCCCCGTGTCACTCTCAATTTCAATCAGCTCATCTATTTGTTTAGGGGTTTTGATTTTATTTACCTGTGGAAAGCAGAGTACTAAGCACTGAGTTCTCCTCTCTGAAGATGTTAAGTCTAGGAAAAACATGACTAAGAAGGCAAAACATGACTCCAAAAAGAAGTAAGTGGTATTTGATAAGTACTCCTCATGTACACGAGAGCACTGACAGAAATCTACAGAGCCAAACAGCACCCAAAGGAACTGAAGAATGAATGGGTGATGGAATGCCATTGATAAATGGGAAGACAGCAGGTGGTAATGGAGTGAATGACAGGAGGCAAGTCTGCCCCTCTGTATCATCACTACAAAGTCACATGACAGCAGACACAGCATCCAGAGATGAGCTTCTGCATTCAGAATTATTTTGCTTGGACTAAGTGACTACACACACGTTTTTAGGTGTGTGCACCTAAAACTTGAAGAATTTGGCACTTAACTGTGGTTCTTTATGTTTTACCATCCAACTTTGATTCATAGAGTAACACTATGGCTCTTTCTTCTTTCACTCATAGGCTAACACACACTGGCTGACCAGTAGACACCCAGGCTGGAAGACATGAATGACTTCTACTGCAAGCATCAACTCTGATTTTTCAGTTACATAAGGGAGAGACAGGATGGAGGTTCAGTGTGACAAGCCACCTTTGACTTAAGGTTGCCTCCCTGAACTAAGGAAAAGAGCCACAAGACAGGCAAGCAATGCTTTCAAAACACAGAAGGACCGAGGAAGCTCACCTTCCCCCGTTTTTTGATTAATCTAAGAGAATGTAGCAGTGTGCACATACCATTCTCCCTGAGGCTGAGTGGGTTCTAGACAGCCTGCCAAGATCCCAAATGGCAAACTATTGTGAGATACAGTTTGGAGGCTGGGTCCCTTGGCATCTTTCAAATGGTACTAGTCAGGCAGTAATCTTTTGACTATATGAACAAAATGTATCTACTTAACAAAACAATTTCTGACTTAAATACAGGTTTCCAAATATAGTACATGGGGAAATTATTTTGCGTAGTCTAGACTTTTTTTTTTTTGACACAGGGTCTCACTATATAGTCTAGGCTGGTCTTGAACTTGAGATCTTCCTGCCTCAGCCTCCTGAGTCCTGGAGTTGTAACAGTGCACTATCAATATCCAACTTCTATTTTTTAAGGAATTTTATTTTAACCATTTCATATTTAACTTTTGGGCGGCTTCTTACTTTTCCAGTCATTGACACTTGTTCATAACTCATTGGCACTCACAGGAGATGTAAACATCAAACATCACACACCTTTCACAAGGAAATGAAAGCATGCTCACGGAGGCCTGAATAACGCAGGAGAGACTCAGTGTTCAGAGCATACAGCTTGATTGGCAGAGAAAATGCTTCACGGATTCTAGAATTTGATCAGAGCCTGACAGAGAAGGATGCTATTTGCTAAGTGGGGAAACTGTGGAGGGCATTCCAGGTGGGAGGGACACCAAGTATACACATTCGGAGGTAGGAGAGAAAACAGTGTATTGGGTAATGAAGAAGAGTTTGGACTCCTGACAGTGAGTGCAAGGTCAGAGGACACTGGTAATAAAGATTGAACCAAGTCAGCGGCAGTTAAGATGGAAAGTTAAGGAACAATGATCATTGATAGAATAATAGGGCATGACAATTTCTTGGATATCCATGAGGATGATTGAAAATATATAAATAAGATGGTTTTCAGTGATTAAGCTTGGGTGGTGCTGGTGACAGTTTTTGGTAGGATTTGAGACAAGGAGGAGGCTTGGTGACTCTTAGAGTAGACTACTAGATATACAAAGATGTTCACAGAACTCTTCATTCAACACACACACACACACACACACACACACACACACACGCATCTGGAGCTCAGAAAAATGTGTGCATCAAGAGACAGAGATGCAGGGAGTAGCTGAGATCAGCCAAGGAGAGTAGACAGAGTTGAAAGATAAGTCAGATGATAAGCTGGGGAGATAGCTCAGCAGGTAAGAGAGCTTGCTGCTCAAGCATGAGGACCTGAGTTCAAATCCCCAGCACTCACATTAAAAGTTGGGCTTCTCCAGTGCTGTGGGGGGTGAAGACAAGAGGATTGCTGGGGCTTGCTTTCTCAAGGGAATAAAATAGAGAGGCTGAGAATAATAGACCAAGAGACTTAATGGCCTCCATGTACACATGGGCATGCACATATATACGCATAGAACACACACACACACACACACACACACAAAGTCAGCTGAAAATGAAGTCCTAGAAAACAACAATATTTAAAATAATGACATGACAAGAAGATATTCAACCCCAAGTACTGAAAAAATAGTTTTTTAAAGTTCATGTTACTGCACATTAACTCAAAAGGAGAGCCTATTTGAAAGGATTTCATTGTGTATATGACAAGAGAAAAGATATGCTTGTCTTGGTTGAATTGTGTAGTGATTTGTATAAATGCCTGAGATTATCCGTATCTTTGAAGTGTTTTCACCTTATTCTCCTCTAAGTTTTTTTGTGGCCATGTTAACAAGGAATGGACTTTATCACTAAAACCTTCAACAAGAAAAAGCAGGTAAACAGGGTATTGAAACCCTGCAGAGTCACATTCCCAGAGGGTCTCTGATAAAAAGGTTTGTCTTCATTTAACTGAGAAAGGTTAAATAATGCCAGATATCTAGGTCCCATCTCAAGATTTCTCCAGCAATATGGTCCTTTACTTTAAGAATAATCTTACTGGGGGTCGGGGAGGGAAGAGAGCTTAATAAGTGTTTGCCTCGCAAACATGAGGGTCTGAGTTCAATCTCCAGATCTCATGTAAAAACTACTGGGCATGGTAGTACATGCTTGTAATCCCAGTGCTGGGGGAGTAGAAACAGGAGGATCCCTGGGGCTTCAAGCCAGACAATCTAGCCTAACTGGTGAGCTCCGATAAGAGACCGTGTCAAAGGATAAGGATGATAATCCTGAGGATGACACCAGGGGGGTCCTCTGGCTTTCACATACACTTGCATACATGTGAACATGCACTTGTGCACACACGACCACATACATGCACACATATTACACACATTATACACACAAGAATAGTCTTACTGGGGACACATCTAAATGGTAGAGAGCTTGTCTAGCAAGTGCAAGGCTCTGTATTAACAACAACAAAAAGAGTCTTCAATAAAATGTTACCAGATATTAACTCATCAGAAGAGTCTTCAAAGCTCTCCAGATCTTTAACAGAGAAGAATATCCATTAATGAACTTCCTTTCTGTTACAAAGCATAGAAAGTTTTGCTAATCGTGAATCAGTAAAGTGTTTAAAGCTGGTTGGTAGAATGCTTGCCCAGTATACCTGAGGACCTAGGTTCCGTCCCTAGGCCAGACAACAACTTATCTTAGCTTTTTGAAAAATGAAATGAATAAGTACCATAACTGGAACTACTCAATTGGGGCCATTTCACCCAAGTTTTCACAACTGTAATTAATGCTATTTAAGTCACTGGAGACCTTTTTTCGATCCTCCTTCTAAACTCATTTTAGAAACAACATTTTTATTCTGATTGCATGACTGAATATATCGAAAGACTTAAAAACCATCATTCCTTTCAAAAAGTACCAGGCACCCAACTTTCACCAATTTGGCTGGCTTTTCTCCATAGAGAACAAATTTGGTAACTAGAGAATTGAAGAACATTCCAGACCAATGGCTTAGGATGTGACAGATAAGGTTGAATGGCAAGTCTGAGGAGCTGAAAGGCAAGTGTATTTGAAGACAGTAGCCCAAAATAGACAAGGACCAGATAAGTCCTAGGGGACCAGATTGAGAAGTTTTGTCTTAATCCTGAGAGCTTTGTAAATTGGTAGAATGTAAGGTTGTATCTTTGATAGAAGTGTGCCCATGTGCATGCATATATAGTAACATGACATGCACACATACATGGAAATTCCTCTCAGGATTTTTTGGACCTTACGTTCATATTAAGTCTTATCAAGTCAAAGCAACATATGTACCTGGATCATCTTTCTCTGGCTTCTACATGGCTGCCTTCCTTTACCAAATAATCATTCATTATTGACCAAACAAATGGCCATGTGTAAAATATTTGCCTTTACAAAAAAGTGCTATTGAAGATATTATCTGTCATATTGTTTAATATTCCTTAGAGTAAGGCCTATGAATTAACTTTTCACAAATCATAAAAAAGTTGGCTTTTGCCAGGTGTGGTGGCACACCCCTTTAAAACCAGCACTCAGGAGGCAGAGGCAGGCAGATCTTTGTGATTTCAAGGCCAGCCTGGTCTATATAGTGAGTTCCAGGCTAGCTGGGGCTACAAAGAGATCCTGTCTCAAAAAGACAAAAATCAAAAAGACAAAAAAAAAAAAAAAAGGCTTTTTTTTTTCTGAAAACTATGTTGCTCACTGAATTTGTCTCCTGTCTCGTTTTTCAGGAAACCAGAATAGTTTTATGCTTATGCTGTTTTAAAGTTATTTTACTATTATTTATTAATTTATTTGTGTGTATGTGTACATATATGTGGTGTACACATGCTGTAGTATGCATGTGGAGGTCAGAGAACAACCTGGAGGAGTTGGTTCTCTCCTTCCCCCAAGTGCGTCACAGGGATCCGGTCATCAGGCTTAGCAACAAGCACCTCTACCCACTGAGCCATCTCACTAGCTTTGATCCTCTAGTATAATTGCTTTCCTATTTTTACAATTCTTAAAAGAAATACTTTTACAATTTTATTAAATATCTCAGCAGCTGTCCAGGCTTTAGAATGATGAAGCCTGGTGCCTGCTGTCTCAGAGACAATGTTATGGGTTTGCTATGAGCATATACTGAGGAAGGAGTGGGTGTCACTTCTCTGGAAGCACAGAGACCAGATTAATGAGAGCATTTTTTGCCACTGTATCTCATGTAAAATATACATGGTTGATTTTACCTTTTGAACTAGTCTGATATTTTTTGTCTTTTAATAGGAATGCTTATATTATTTTCATTTATTTAATTAAAAATTCCACTGTTGTCCTATGTCATAATTTAAAATTTCTTTTATTTCTTATCCCCTTATGAATGAACTACATTCTTTTACTTTTTCCTATTTTTCTATTTTTTTTTCATTCTTTCAGTTCTTGAAAGACACCAGATATATCAATGTCTAATCTCATTCTAAATGAGGTTACTTTTAAGATTATTAAAAATATTCTTTAGCTGTTGTTTTACCAGCTTGCTCTTAAATATTCCTGCCACTCTCAACATCTGTAGCTTTAGGGGTAAAAATTGTTATAGAACCTAAAAACAAATCAAAATGTCAATCTGTTTAAAAAAGATTTTGGGGGGGCTGGAGAGATGGCTCAGTGGTTAAGAGCACTGACTGCTCTTGCAGAGGACCTGGGTTCAGTTCCCAGCATCCACATGGTGACTATCAACCATCTGTAACTCCAATTCCAGGGGATCCAATGCCCTCTCTGGCCTTTGTGGGAGCATCTACATACATGTAGGCAATACACTCATACACATAAAATAAAAATAAAAAATAACATATTTTAAAAAAGATTTTGGATCTAGAATCATATTAAAACACACACACACAAACACATACAGATGTTTTACTTATTTCTAAAGTTATCCTTCATCTTGGTTTAAACATACTGTCACTTTTTTCCTCTGGATTCTTCCATTTATAAAAACATTTTTCTATTTTCTTTTTATATGAATCACCTTGTTCAGTCCTGAAATTTGGGGGAACTTTTTTTTTTTGGTGTTGGGAATTGAATGCAGGGCTTTGCGCATTCTAGGCAATTATTCTATCACTGAGTTATATCCCAACCTGGGGACCTTTTAAAAATAGTTTGTATTTATCAAATGTGCTTTTGCGTTCTTATTAAAAAGTTTTTTAAGACTTATTTTTAAAAAACATTTTATTTATTATTTTTATTTTTATGTGTATGAGTGCATTGCTTGCATGTACGTAAGTGCACCACTATTGTGCAATGCTCACAGAGGTCAGAAGAGGGCATCAGATCCCCTGAACTGGAGAGTTGTTAGCTGCCATGTGGGTGCTGGGACCCAAACCCAGATCCACTGCAAGAGCAGTCAGTGCTCTTAACGGCTGATCCATCTCTCCAGCCCCCAAGGTTTATTTTTATTTTTAATTATGTGTATATGTGTGTATCTGTGTATGGGCCTGTGCACGGGAATATAGATGCCTGTGGATCCCAGAAGATATCCGATCCCCTGAAGCTGGAGTAATAGACAGCTGTGAACAGCCATGTGGGTGTTGGGAACTGAACCCCAGTCATTTGCAAGAACAGTACATAATCACTGAGCCATCCCCTCTAGCCCCACTTCTTTTGTTTTGTTTTGTTTTGCTTTCTTTTTGAGACAGGGTCTCCCCATAGCCCCAGCTGGCCTGAAACTTACTCTGTAGACCAGACTGGCCTTGACCTCACAGAGCTCTGCCTACGTCTGCCTCCAGAGTGCTGGGATTAAAGGTGTGTGCCACCACACCAGGCCCACTTTTCTGGAATTCTCACTGAAATCTGTTTCCATGTGCCTTTATGAAGCCCCAAATTCAGGTTTTCTCAGTGTTAGCCTGGCATTTCTCAGTGACAACTTGAACAAGAGTTCCTACTAGATCTTCCTGAAAACCGAGTGAAAACCTGTCACCCCTGGGGGGATGTGTCATGAGATGAGAAACCTAGAGGTGTTAGGAGAAAGACAAGATGGCCAATTAATCCTCAAGTTCTAGGGTGGGACCAGAAAGTAAAAATTTCCAATGCTATCTCTGTTTTCTTACTGCTTTATGCATGCACACACACTCATAAATATATGGAAATATGTGTGTAACTGGATATGGGTATATATTACTAGCTGTTCTTTATGGAGTATGTAGATTGTCCCAGAGATGATGCTACAAGCTTTACACAGAGTCTGTGTAACCCTCCCAGACTCTGTCAGTTAACTATTATTATAATTCCTTGTAGATATGGAAGCTGAAGCTTAGAACCTTGATTCTAACTTACTCAGGGCACACAGTTATAAGTGATGGAGCTGGGGTTTAAACTCAGATGCAGCTGCTCTACTTTGGAAAGTCTAGAGTGCTCTGAGCTTCTTGGTAAGCAGCATGTGGAAATAAGTAAGTTCTAGGTGGGGCAGAAGCAGTGGCCTGGCAAGATAGAGGAGGTGACCCAAAAGAGGCCCTAACCTCCTCTGATAGCAAGTCAAGGAGAATCTGTTAGTATTCCCTATAAGCAGGGCCTCTGGTACTAAACCAGGGGGTCAGAGTAAGTCTGAGATTAAACCATGGTGTTTCTGCTTGAACCCCATCTCTCAGGTTGGCACTATTATTCATCCAACCAGAGTCTTGGGGTTTTAAGTAGGTGTGAATAAATTGGCAACCAGTGGGCCAAAAGCAGCCCTATATGTGTTTGTGTAAATAAAGTTTGATTGGAACACAGCCACAGCCCTTTGTTTACACATTCTCTATGGCTGCTTTTGCATTGTTAAGCAAGCGCTAAGTAGCTGTGATGGAGACTATATGACTGGTAAAGCCTTAAAAATGTGTCCTCTGCCTTGTCCTGAACTTTGGCATCAAGGATCTTATGAGGAGCAGACTCACCGTGAAGACCTTCTCTGGCTGGCCCCGAGCTCTCATGTTGGTGTCATGAATTAACTTCAGAATCATCCATGCTTCGTCATGTTTTCCCACCTAAGAAACACACAGGCAGAGAAGGGCTGGGAGTCAGACATTTATTCCCTACCTTTGTGGTGACTACCCTGAATTCCACACCAAATGGAATGTCATTGCACAAATATGTTTAGCTATGCCCCATGGAAGCACACAGACTGAGGATGTCACAGAGTATATCCGCAGTTTAAAGGATGCGCCTTCAACTAGAAATAGCACCTGTGGAATCTCTCATTTCATTTAGAAAACAATGAGCCCTATTCTCTTCACTGAGTGAAAGCTATTTGCTTAAGGAAGAACATGCATGTTTTCTGGCTGTGAGACAGCTTTTTCACATGCTAGTTGTTTAAAGCATGTCTCCTCCATGAAACCAAAGTTTCATGCAAAGTTCCATGGGAGGAAGGAAAAATGTACCTCCCAAGGAGAGACATACTTTCTTGGATTTGTAAGGAATCCTTTCCAATGTAAGCGGGCTACTTGAGTATTCATAATATTACCTCCAACAAGAACCGAGGGCTTTCAGGCATGAAGGTGAGGGCCACCACAGAGGAGACGCAGGGGAGTGCGCAGACGATGACGAACACACGCCAGCTATGGAACTGGTAGGCTGAGCCCATGCTGAAACTCCACCCTGGAAAGGACAGAAGAGTGAGGGACGATTCCTCTACGCTGCTACTGAGCAAGTCACAGGGTGGGGCTCCACAGGGAGAGGGGTGTCCTTTAATCAAGTCTGTCCACAGAAGGATGAGTTGATCTGCACATCAGTCACAGTGGCCGATGTTAAGAGCCCCATGAACAAGGCTGAGAAGAAAGGGGACTGGGACTAACAGGGTCAAGTAGGGGGTAAGTGTAGGGTCATAGAATCAGATCTCAAAGGCCAGCATTACTGTGGGAGAATGCTTCTTCCAACAGGGCACTGTGCTGATTGTCTACTGTTCACTTTTCCACGTTATTCTGCACTCTGCTGTGTGCCAGGAAATGGGCCTCTATGGACTGCATTACCGAGTTCCTAGCCAGGCTTGGGGGAGGCAGTGGTTCAGACAGTGCCTTCTATATATCCCCAGCTGGCCTTGAACTCACAATTTCCTGTCCCAGCCTTCTGAGTGCTATGATCACAGGCATGTGTCACCACACCCGGTTCCCAAGTAGGTTTAAGAAGAGGAAGTATAGGATGAGGGGTGAGCATTATTTGCTCTCCTCCCTCTCCCCTCCCTGGCCAGGTGGAGGGCTGACCGTGGGCAACTCTCAGCTCCTGGCTTTCTGCATCTCCAGTTCTTGACAGGTCTCCTCAGTGTTGCCCCTTGAGGTGCTGGGGGCTCTAAGGTGCTGTGGCATGACTTACTGATCTCTCTTCACAGTTCCTAGTTCTTTGCAAACAGCCCCTTCATTAGACCATTTTAAATGGCCGTGGAGCAGGGGGTTGACTTACTGTGGCACCTGACCACTGTAGCTATCAGGAACTGACAGGTGCATCTCTGTTCATAGATATAATATGGTATATCAAGATGATTTCTAATTCCTAAGTAGACATTTTAAATGTCCAAATATTAAAAATTAAAGTTTTGTATACTATATAATATAGATAGTCCCAAAAGGATACAAATAGAAATCCCTTCAGGAACAAAAGGCTGGTATTTGGATGAATATAAAATGAATAAAAGCAAAATTCAAGCATGGTTCCAAATAAGAAATGAGACATTTCCAATCTAATCAAAGCCAAAGATTTATAGATTTATAGATGGACAGGTGAATTATATGAGGTGAAATGTTGATCTATAGCAAAGCTCGGTACTTATAAGGGTTTCTATGAACAAAGTGAGATAGTCTGCATCCCATCTCCAGGAAAGGTGTATATTCCTCATTCATATCAGAATCCTGGGAGAACCTGGAGGTGACATAATTCTACAAGCCACAAGCCAAAATCACAAAATCTTTACTGCCAGGATTCGACACCGAATTACACACCAGAACCCAGTGACACTTCACTCACTATATTGCTGACAAATGACATCAACACTAGTAGCATGCTCTATTAATCTTACATTAATTTTTTTCCTGAGAGTTTAATATGTGGGTCACTAATTTAATTATATAATTATCTTTAGGGAAGCATGATTATGCTCAATGTTTTATGTGGCATTAATTCAAAAGTCTCACATATCCAAAATGCAGAAGAAAATATGATAGAACCAGGAAACAGAACTTGCTCATTTCACCTGTGATCTGAGAGCTTCAAATGAAGGCCTTATTTTTTCAAAAGCGGTGGCATATGCCTTTAATTCCAGCACTCAGGAGGCAGAGGCAGGTGGATCTCTGAGATCAAGGTCAGCCTGGTCTACATGATCAGTTCCAGGCCAGCTGGGGCTACAGTGCAAGAATAAAAAAAGCTTCTAGTGACTGAGTTAAATTTCAGGCTATAGCACTTTCTACAAAATAGAGGAAAACGAGTAAAGACAGAGAGGAGGGGTCTAGAGCCACTGTTCAAAACAAGAGTTCAGAGGGTGATCTTCTCAATGGAAAATACGACAAAGTGATTTAACCAAGTCCCTACAGTGGGTACTGCAGGAAGCTTGTTGTGGTAGACAGAAAGCTGCCCCTCCCCTTCACCAACTGTTCTCAGCCTAATCCTCAGAACCTGTGGATAGGGGGACATTGAGGATTGTGAAAGATTTTCTAGCATTGTATAGCCTGGCGAAATGTAAATGCTAAAGTCCTTCTAAAGAAAGGAGAGAGGCAGGAGAGTCAGAGTGAGAGGAGAGGATGTGAGAGCAGCAGGGGCCATAGAGAAGGAGACTTGAAGGAGCTGCACTGCCAGCTTTGAAGATGTAGGGAGGGGTCATAGCGAAGGAGTGGGACTGGTAAATGGCAAAGTAGATGGCAAAGCATGGGCATGGAGGCCTGAGAGCAGCCTGTAGGAGTCACTTCTCTCTTACCATGTGGTCATCAGATCATCAGGCTCAGTGGCAAGTGCTATTACTGGCTGAGCCACCACACCTGCCCCAATTTTTTGCTTAACTTTACAAGAATCTGTTGAACTGTCTTCCACAGCAGAGTTAATTGCCATTTGTGTTGCCATCCACAGTGTTAGAGCTCTCCAGCTGCTACGCATCCTTCCCACCATTTCCTGCCCCTTAAAAAATGCTTATTCCTTTTCATAGGAGACTGATGAAATCCCTTATGACTGTAAATTGTTTTCCTTAACGTCTAATGAGATCTTCATTTCCCTTTTGTCCATTTTCACACTTTTATGGAGTGCCTACATGTTGGGAGCCTCTGTTAGGCAAAGTGGAAGCCCCTTCACACTGGACAGCTCATGCAGCTCAGGAATTATGTGCTGCAGGCTCCTTTCATAGCGGGGTGTCTTCCTGGCATCTTTCCTGTCTCTCCTTTTGAAGTGTCCGCCACGAATGCTATAACATAAACATGGCCTTTGGCTCTAACAGGTACCATGCCTTCCTGTAATTTCTCCAGGCAGACAACAGTCTAGCAGTGTGGCAGAAACCCACCTCCATATGTAAATACAATGCCTCACAAAGCATCTAACAGCCAAAGCTTTTACCACTACCCCCATGGTATAAATGTCTTAGTCTTCTCTTAATGGTCAGAGAACTGGGTCGCAGAAAGCTGGGACACAGAGAGCAGGATCTCAGACAATAAAGCTGTAACACAGACTAAGTCTTGAGTCTTGTGTCACTACCGGCCGCCCAATCTCTCTGGGGGGCGCACTCCCTCGTTACCGACCCGCAAACACCCTAGCTTTCGCCGTCTCTGTACTCTTCCCTCCGTGGTTCTGTGGCCAGGAACCTCACATCCTGAGGAATAGTACACGGTACACGGATGAAATAGAGATGGGATTTCGGCTGAACAATGCTTCAGTAGCGGAGGAAGCTGTCTGCACCAGAGACTCGGGACTCGAGCCACCGGCAGAAGCCTGTGGGGCATCCGCAGCTGCGGCCAGACCCGCCAGCGACTAGCCAGGTGTGGCAGGGGCCCAGAGCACCCCGAGATATCCACGCACACGACGCCTGAGGCCGATAGAGACACCGAGAAGCCAACGGGACCAGACCAGCTTTCCTCCAGACGAACGGCGGGAGAGCAAGCGCACACCTGTGGATCCGCCCTGCCATCCCGAGAGTGTGCGCAGGGACCCCGAGTGCCCAGAGAGAGAGAGCGCACCACCCCCATACCTACATATGCCAGTCATAACATGTGACGTGGGGGGGGGTCACAGGGCTGATTTCTTGCCCATGAGGAGGTTGGAGTCCAGTGGAAGAGGCAAATTTGCTTAGGAAGTAGAATACCCTGTAGACTGACTCTGCACTGGGTCAGGAAGGAAGTACAGGAGTGCAGGGGGCAGGACCAGCTGTTCGCTCTGGTAGACTCTTCTGCAGAGTTCCTGCCACATTCCTTTTCTGATTTTCCCCTATATACAAAGAGCAAATTCTAAAATTTCTAACGCCAAAGTTAGAATTAACGCTTTTGTTTATGAAGCCGAGGAAGTCAGCCAGGACCGATTGTTCCTACTATTTTATATCTGGCTGGCTTGGAGAGGGGGAGAAGTGCCCTGTAGAAGTGAGAGGAGTCCTGGAAAGGGAATTGAACTCTCCCTCCTCTTACAACATGCCCACTGGGATCAAAGATTGATGGAAATACCCTGGGGTCTGAGAGGAGGCTGGCTCTGTGAGGGCCTTGGGAAGTGATTCTGCAGGTGCCTGACAGGCCAGAACACCAATCTCTGCATTAAAGATGGGTATGAGCATCAAGGAGTGAAATGCAGATCTCCATCACTGCTCACCCACTAGTCCTAAAGGAGCTCTCCTGAGTGCCATTTCAAGGAGGCTTACCTCTGAATTTAAGCACTATGCAAAGCCTACACTACAATCAGAAAGTAGGGCAAAGAACAGGACTGTGAAAGCAAGCCACATTCCACTGGGAAAGAAGGTTGGTGTGATCAAATCCTTGTCTGCTCTAAGTAAAATGGATCCTTTGAAATTAATCCTCATCGTTGGCACTATGCCCCCCTTTCCTTTGTCTTAAAAAATGATTCTTGTAAAGTTGATGGTTCTAATTGTCCTTTGGACTTTGCTAAAATGCTCATTAAAATGTCATACTGTGGGATTTATCTACAGATAATGTTAATTCCATGCAAGGAAGGACCCCAATTAGGGTGTTACAGAAGGCTGTTAATGCACAGCTCTAATCAGTGTGGAGCTAATAAGAGCGAGGTGTGTCTTGCATAATAATCAAGGCGTTTGCCACCCTGGCACTACCCGGCTCTGTGACAGCCTCCCCAGCTGCAAGTTGTTCAAGGGTTAGGGTTAGAATGTGACACACACAGGACACTGGCTCTTACATTCTTTTCTGGGCTCTGTCCTGGAAACAGTGGAATCTTGGTACCCACTTTGCTGACCTACTTTTTGATCAGCAGTTATGTGATAATATGAACAAAACAGTGTTTGTCAAGAAAGTAGATTTTAGGTGCAAGGCACAGATCCAATGTACTAAAAGAAAATCGTTAGCACTGGATGGGAGATCACGTTTGATTAGTTATGAAGCCGATCACTTGTGTATTTTCATCTGCGGTCTTACAAGGCACATAACCAACTAAAATTCTGATTTAAAGTGGCTCAA